TGATGTTATCAGTCAATATATCTTGTTACTACAATTAGGATATAATTATTTTGTTATGTTATTTAATTTGATCTAGAAATGAATTTGAATGATATGCATAATTATACTTATTATTATACATGCATGGTATAAATGAAAGATATTGTATGATATTTAGAATATAAATGAAATAATTTATAGTATGCTTGCATGTGTTTGTCTATCTATGATGGAGTTACATATCTTGATGGTACTAGTGGGGAAACACTAAGGTATCCTTGCATGTAAATGGAAAAAAAATTTTGATATTGAAATACTTTAATTTATAAAAAACTTTAGACGGTGTTTTTGTGACGATTGTGTTGATATAAAATGATATTGATATGATATTGCTATAAACTTTTTGAATAACATGTTAAAATGTTTATATTGATCTATAAAAATACTTAACTGACATGAATATTATTATTTTTTCTTGCATAATTGTAATTTAAAAATATGAGTATTCACTGTCTTATTTAGTTTATTATTGTTTTAAAATTAATTTTTCAGATTTAATTAGTTATTTAGAGGATGAGCGAAAGTAGGGGAAACGTTTGTAGAAGTCGTGGATGAACATCAACGAGATAATTTTTACTGTATCACTTTAAATTAATTTGTTGTGGCTCTTTCATATGTTAAATTGTAGCTTAATATAGAAAATTTAATTCACATCGTCTGACCGTCTATATCCACCTTGGTTAATTTCAAGCTCTGGGTCGGGTTGTAAACACCACTTCACATACACTTTCAAACTTTTACCGCACTAATTAGGGATGATTGAACATTTCGATCGCATAAGATATAAAATGATTTTTCACCTGAAGATTTCAACTTCATCCACCTTTCCAACATTCAATTGTAGCAAATTGATTTGCCAACCAATCCATCTCCAAAAGGACAACAAAAGTCTTATTTGGCATGGTAGTCAACTCTGTTGGCAATTTCTTATCATGAACATGTACTATATATTTTCTATTAGCATAAAAAACACTTTCCGATGACATAATAACACCAAAACAAGAGTAAAATACACAATATCAACATGTAACTGGCAACAAACTCACAGAAATAAATGAATGAGATGCATCTGAATCGAATTGGAAAGTGTCAGGCTGATCTTGAATTGGGAGCGTACCTGTAACAACTTCAGATTCTTTAGCTTCTTGAGGGGAAATTGCAAAATATCAGGCTTTTGCTGGTTGCTCTGTTTTGCTCTATGAAATTTCACCCTTTGTTTGCACTGAAGGCTTTCCTGAAAACTAAGGTTTGCTAGGCTGATTGCCTTCCAATGATTTTTTGTGCTGTTTTTTTCCTTGAATTATCTGTGATCTGTTATCCCTTTTTTTCTTGTGGACAATTCATTTGGATATGCCCTAAATGTCCACATTTCTAATATTTTTTTAAACCAATCAAACATTGGCCATAATTTGTTTTTTTCACATTTTTTACAGACTAGTTTTCCTATCTGAGGATGGTTCGTTTAACTTCTAATTTAATTTTTTTACTTGGAAGTGTTTTTTTTTGCCAAAATCTTTTCGCTCGCTTATCTAAGGTTGCCACTGCTAACTGGAAAAGTTCAACTTATTTTCGATTCTTTTGGCTCTTTCAACGAAAGTTGGGTAATAGCTGATTTCAAATGGAGCTAATGCCAACCTTTACTAATCTTTGAGATCACACAGAAATCTGTAACACTTTTTCTTCTGAGTGCTGACTTAGTGGGTGCATATTTGGAAAGATAAGTGAATTCTGCCTCATTGTATAAATGTCTTGGACCCTTGAGTTAGATTAAAGGACTTATCTTGCAGTGCTAATTTGGCTGAAGGAGAAATGAACCAATCTTTAAAGACCCTGATAAAGTCATCCTTTAATGACCCACTTTTCTGTTTTTCGGAGAAATCATACCATCCAAAATTTTTTCGATCTTTAGGAGCTAATCTTTAGCAAATATGATCACTAGCACCCTCAAATGCAGTTCGCTTCAAATACTGAAATATCTTCAAATATTGATTCACTTATGCTCCAGCTTCAGATCCGAGCTCTGAACTAGTGGAGGATCTTTCAATAAAATCCATTTTATCAACTATTTGTGATATTAACTGCAATATGCCTTAGAATTTGGTAGCTTTGGTGTCCTCATTTGTCTTTTTTTGATTGTTAATTTTGCTCAAAACAATTTTAGATCTTACTTAATGCTCTGTACTTGGCCTATGAGACTGGCCCTTAGTACTTTTTGATTCATCTCGAAGCATATTCATTTGTACTGTCACATTTTATTATTTAAATGTAATCAGTCATATAATGTAGTGTTGTGCATGCATGATACCATAAGTCTCATGGGATACCCACCCCAGATTCGTCAACTTATAGCTCTTTATAAATCAATTCATATTTAAGCTCATTCTTACTTCTAAATCCAACATGTTTCGATTAACGTTTTCATTTAATGATCATGTTTAGATACCACTTTCTGTCACACTCCAACTAAAGTCTTGGTTGTGTCAATCGTGGTGTGATAGAAGCTGACAATTTAGTTAGAGCAACTCTCATCCGCACTTGTTCTGACTTTAATAATCAGGATCAGTGAGTGATTAATTAGTCTAACTTGATCGTCGTAACATAAGTGATATATTGCATTTCATAATTCATTCATATACATACTCGGAAATATAGAAATCATATCATCTAAAATATAAAAACTATACAGAACTGCTAAATTCAATATAATAAAAGTACGCACCCAAAACATATGTACAAGCTCCCAAAACTATTGTACAAAAGTTGTATAAAGATACACTTGGCTACTCGCTCCAGTGTTCGTTGCTTTTATTTGGAAGGCAACAACGAAGAATGAGCAACATTGAGCTCAGTGATAAAAAGGGAATGCATAACACTAAAAAATACTAAGAGTGAGATGCAATTCTATTATTATTAAAGACACAATGGAAGCATGAGCTAGACTTAAGGAACAAGATCAATGAAATCCAAGGTAAGTGCAATGGTAGCCTGTATTAAATAAAGGAACTTTTTCAGTTTGCTTAAGCCCTAAAACAGACCCTAGAAGCTTTGTGATACATACATTAAAACCCCTTTCCTTTTTCTTACCGATTTGAAATGGTTTATATGGACGGTTAGGAGGATAAAAAGGGGATGCAATTATAAAAATAATTCCAATGGTATATTCATAATTTTTAAAATTTTGAGGGTTTAGTTGCAAATTTAATATAAATCATTGCTCGCTAAAAAGTTAGTTGAATATAACTATAAAATTCTGCATTGTGTTTAGAGCATGCTCACTCCACAGATTCACCTATGTATGCAAAATTCGCTCGCAAATTGAACGAAAGTTGGCTCTAGAAAGTCTAGCTGTATAGAGCAAGGTCAAACTGTCTTTCATAATTTATCATATTATTCCACTGTCTATCAACTCAACTCAATTTAGAATCATGCAACGGACACAATAGTTAGAGAAACACTATGACCAGCATGAAAACAACAGTCATACAACCATGTAAATATAATCTTTTTAAAAAGGACTCCAAATATGACTAAAAAATATCTTGGCGTCTATGGATGTATGGGGCATTAGAGAGGGTCGCATAGACGAGAATTATAGTGTCCCACCTTATAATTATTGTCATTTTTTATATGTTTGTAGCACATAACCTACTCAATCAAGAATATTTGGATAAGTTTACTTCATCACAGACCTCTCCCACTTTGCTTCCCTACCAAACTGTCCCTTTCACTGCATTTTCACTATAGAAGTTTGCGTATTGGACAGTTTCTTGATATCATAAGCCAGTATACGTTCTGGTTCTCCTCTGTAAATGAAGTTAGGCTGTACCTCAAGCTCATTGTCTAACACTATATTCATGGCATCTATAATGTATTCCTCAACGATGAAATGTGGAATCATCATCAATCATATATTATCATAGCAGTAATCATTAAGCAGCCTTTCAAATTTTATCAATCAGCTTAAATTTTCTAGTTTATCTTGGACTTAAGCTTTCACTAATGTAAAGTTTTCCCCTTCAAACGCTATTCATGTTGTCTGAAATCATAATATTTCTCTTCCGAATATTGTACTCTTTTCAAGTTTTATTGGATAAGTTTGACATTTGTTTTAGGTCATCAAATAGTTCTGTATCAAACAAAGTCCTTTTTCTTACTTTCGTGCATGTTAAAGGTGTTTCAGACGTATTATACCATGCTACAAATGGAGCATTTTGAAATTTTACTATAAATTATTATTATGAAGAATTTCAATCAATGTTAACTAATGTTTCTTGCTACCTTCAAAGTCAAGTATTATGATATCAAATTTTTATTTGATTAACCTTGTGATTTATTACATTTCCAACTATCTAATCTCCTAAAATTAAATGGCATGATAACATTTGTCGTATAGCTCTAAAATTCTGTTTTACGCCTGCCTTTCATGCAACATAAGTTGATCATGACATTTATGTTTGTCCATATAGTTAGAATTTATGGCATGCAACATGTCAGCAGAGACATGGAAACTTTACTGGATTGCCATCGCAACTAACTTGACATTTGAAGTGTCAAAAGAATTTATCATTTTGGAAAGGCATTCAACATTACAGTATTAATCGGCTTCTTGAGCTGAGTTAGATCCAGTCTCCTTATAACTAACAGTGACACCATTCTCAGAGCGGTTTCATCCAAAAAACTTGCAGAGTTTGTTGAGTCTATCAATGCTTAAATTTACTATTTGTTACGATGATTACTTTTTAGGATTATATAGTGATTTAAGAAAAAGCTCACTGAACAAACATTTGCACTCAAGAAAATTAAAGTACCATGGGTATATAGCATGGTTAACATTTTACAGTTATTACAAGTGAGGTTAATATAATTGTTTCACTTCGGTCGTACTTCATTTGTTCAATATACTATACAGTCTATATTTTCAAGTATGATAGTTGATTTATAACGACTCTGTTATCAACCAGTTCTCGATTTTTTAAGTGATGGAGCTATGGATGATGCTTGGGTGGTGACTTCTTATTTAAGTGACGCTGATTGCCTTCTTAGTAGTTCACTCCACATTTCTTGTTTGCGGAAATTTTCTGAGACGTATGAGTCACAAAGTTTATTGCAATCAGTTGCTTGTTCAGTTGCAATTCGTGGCGTTTTATTTGGAAATTCACAGCCATTGACATCAAGGTCATAAATTACTTCTATATTTTTGGGTTCTTTATTTATCTTAATGCTTATACCTTCTGTGGTTTGCATTTTAACAGATGGCATGCTATTCGAAGCCCAAGGCTTTGGCAAATCGAGCATTCAGCAAAGAAGCATATGGTATGTACTTTCTTTTTATGATTTTTAGATCATATGGTGTGTTTTCTCTCTCTTTTTTTGTAATAATCAATATAAAAAAATGGGGTTTCACATACATAGGACCTGAAAGCTTGATATTTACATATTCAACACCCCCAACTTCATATTTACGCGCACGACACTCTCTCTGTTAACTCTATCTTTCTCGTTACCACTCTCGTCATGTGTTCCTACGTGTCTTTGTCATTAAAGTCGGGGAACAAACGACGTCTGACGATTTTGCTCTCCGAACTCAGCCTCTCGCTGAGATCATTGCTAAGTTGTCGCCTTGAATGTTATGAAGTCACTGATTCGCCGTATTTACATATCTCACACCCAAAGTTTGTTATTCATCTATAAAGCATTCCAGATAATGTCGTCAATGACTTGTCGGATTTTGTCGGACATCATCGTCGATGCATTCTCCATCTTCGATGAGATTGAAAAAGAAACGAGCATACTAGTAGATTGTGTAAAGAAAGCTTAAAATCTGTAGAGAAACTAATTTAAAAATTTATGATTGATCCAAAGTGTAGGATCTTAAATCTCGTTTTTCCTCCTTTCAATAAGAGAAAATGACATATCTTATATAGGCTCTTAAGTCCTATCTTTCGTCCAGGTGATATAGGACGATGAAGCCTCCGCTTTGCCTGAAGTCTTGGGGAATTAGAGAGATGAAGCTTGCAAAGACGGCTTGCGGGAGAATGTGGAAGAAAAAAAATGAGGATTACCTTACTCAAAGGTTTTGGATAGGAGCGGGGCGGAAGTTGGAGGTCTTTGTTCGTCATGATCCCGTTGCTGCCTTCTCATGCATTTCAGAACCCCAACAACTTTGTGAATCACTGGATGAAGGCATTGACAGTGTGATTGCCTAGGATGTAGCTCAAGCATTAAAGACGGTGGGTCATGAAGAGCAAATGACGAGAACTAAAACTTAGCGGAGAGTGTTGTGTACGTAAATATAAATTTTGAGGTTCTGAATATGTAAATACCCAACTTTTAGGTTCTATTTATGCAAGAACCCCTAAAAAAACTTAGTGCTTAACGAACTTTTTAGTTATGAAATAGCTTTTTTGTTGTCTTTTTGATCCATCCGTTGTACATGGTGTTTTATTGGCTTTGGATTTTAATATGTAGGGTTGGAAGATGAAATATACAACGAAATATTGTCATAAAATTAGATGAGGTTATTTAAAAGACAGATAAATTTATTTTTATGGGTAAACTTCATGATCATAAGATTTGGGATGTTTATGAAAATACTAATATTATGTAGGATAAAGTAACAAGTACTATTATGTAAGTTGCAAAAGATGTGTTTGAAAAATCGAAAGAAATAGTTCATATGAGTAAAAATTGTTGGCGGTGGAATAATAATGTGCAAGAGAAGATGACAAATAAGAATTTTTATTCAAAAAATTTTTCGGAAGTATAAGTTTGTAGAATTGGAAACAATATGTGGCGGTCCTTAGGGAGTGAGAATAATTTGTGATGCTAAGAATTCTACTTTTGTGTTTTTAATAATAAATCAAATACTAAAGAAGGTGAAAGATATATGTATAAACTAGCCAAACAAAGAGATAAGAAAAAGAAAAGATTTAATTAAGGTACACTAAATATAAAAATTAAAAAATATTTTTTATTAGATGAGGATATTCAACATAGGTGGGTGAAATATTTTGAGAAACTTTTTCAATGAAGTTTATGAAAATACAATTTACTTTAGTGATCTTAATATCATAAATAATAATATTTTTTTTTTATTTCTACTGCGCATTAGTAAAATGAAAATTGAGGCGGCATTCAAGAAAATGAAATGTGGAAAGACAGTAGGACCTAATGTCATTCTAATAAAAATTTATAAATGTTTATGAGATGTGAGAATTTATTGGTTTTCTAAACTTTTTAGTATTGTCTTAAAACTAAAAAGATGTCTGGTGAGTAGAGTAAGAATATTTTAGTTTCGATTTTTAAGAATAAAGGAGACGCGTAAGAGTGTAAATTATAGATGAATTAATTTAATGGTTCATACATTAAAGTTATGAGTGATACCAAAAATTCTGAAAATAAGCTTGCATTTGCCAAGCAAGTCTACTATTGAAGCTATATATTTATTGAGAGATTTGATGTAGTATAGAGAAAGTAGGTAGTTTCAACATATGATTTTTGTTGATTTTGAGAAGATTTATAATAAGGTCCTTAGAAAAGTGCATTGAAGAGTTCTAGAAAAGAAAAACATTTATATTGATTATATTCAAATCATTAAAGATATGTATGTTAGAGCTGTTACTTGTGTTCAAACACAAGCATGATTGACCAAGTACTTTCTTATTTTAATTCAATTACACGAATTTAAGCCCATATCCTTTTTCCTTTTTGGACATTCTTACTGGATATTTGTAGAAGAATGTATCGTAATGTATGCTTTTTTGCTGATGATATCTTTCTTATGGATAAGATTAGACAGAGCTCAGGAAAAACATGAATTATTAAGGTCAATTTTAGATTCTAAAGAATTTCGTTTGAGTAGATCTAAAATTGAATACATGGAATGTAATTTTATTAGTAATAGTTTTGGTGGTGGGGTTGTAATGATGGGTGATCAAGTCATTAAATGGAGTGAATGTTTTAGATATCTTGGGTCTATTGTCCCAAGTGATATAGATCAAGATGTTTTTATTTGAATTCAAGCTGGTTGGTTGAAGTGGACAAATACATCGGACCTATTGTGTCATTGAGTAGTACAACTTATATTTGAAGTGGACAAATGCGTCGGACCTATTGTGTGGTAGAGTAGTACAACTTATATTTGAAGGATAATTTTATAAGATGACAATGAGACCTGCAATGCTTTATGGCGTAGAATGGTGGCCTGTTAAAGAAAAACATAAACTTCCATAAAGTGTTGTTGAGATGAGAATGCTTAGGTGGATGCGTGGCCTTTACACTTAGATACAAAATGCAAAACAAATATATCCGTGAAAGGGTTGGAGTAGCGCCAATGAAAAATAAAACTAGAGAGTCGTCTTAGATTGTTTGACATATTAAACATCGACCATCTGATGATCTTGTAGGGAGAGTAGATGTTTAAAATTTAACTTATGTTAAGAAAGATAGATGTAGATCTAAAAGGACTTGAGCATGTTGTATAAAAAAAATCTTGTTTTATTTGAATTAAAAAAAAATATGACACTCAATAGGACATAAGGGAGAAAAATGATTAATGTAGCCATCCCTGCTTAGGAGATAAAGGCATGTTGTTGTTCTGCATTATATTCTCGTTTGCATGATTCGTTGCAACTCATTATTTGATAATTTATATCATCTCATTGCTTTAATTAAAATAGTATCATGCATGCATAGCGTTTGCCAATCAATAAAAGAGCGATTTTTCTCTACAAATTAATAAGGATGGGTTTGCTGGTCAGGCTACCTAGATATATGAGGTGGTTCAGGATTTTGGGTATTGTCGGCATTAAGATGAGGTAAAAAATGATGTGAAGCTCGAGTCTAAAATCATCGGAGATGCAAAATATTTGCATTATGCCAATCAATTTGATATTTAAACTTGAATTTTGAATTGTACTTCGTTGTGTTTGTATTTATGATCTCATAATTAACGTAATGTTGTTGGCTTGAATTGACTCTTGGATTTTACTCTTAAAGGATAGAGTAGTTACTTTCTGCTTTCGTAGTGCCACAAACTCATTTCACGTGCTGGTTTTCATCTGCGGTTCCCTTAGTTCGTACTGTTTGGGTGTTGTGCGATATTATTCCAATCTAGATTCCTTTCACTTCTGCTCTTTTGCAATTTCACAAACATGTTTATCATGGAATCCATATCACAATACCTGTTCCATGAAATTTATGAATTTATGTATTTTGTGGTATGTAAAGCATTCTATGGCTGGCTTAAAAGTTTATTTGGATGTGTGGACCTTTCAATTTAACTAAGAGGGACAAAGGCATTTGGTATCCTAAGAAGATATAGATGCTTTTAAAGGCGTGTAAAAACTAAGAACTAAGATGGACAAAAGCTTTTGGTATCCCAAAAAATAGATAGAATATGCTTATAAATGTTGAATAACTACATTGAAAATAGTGAGAATCATCCTCCAAAGGGGAACTACGCAAGACACGCTAACTAAAAAACTTGAGATAAGAAGGTTTTGGCACAAATCTTTTCCAAAGAAGCCAATTCTCAATTGTATGATGACCTACTATATCCAATCATATTAAGAAGTGAGAATGCGACAATGCATTAAAGATAAATGGTCTAATTGATAAAAGGGCATAGGAAGAGGGCAACCGCTTGAGAAGGTCAATATTTGGTATCAGTCTAAGTAGGTTTAATTCAAAATAGAATTTAAATATCTTTTCTAAATGATGCAATGTGATTTATTTTCAATGAAGGTACCGGCCAAAAATCAAGGGTCAAATATGCACGTCACCAAAGAATTAGTTTTCCAAGCTATCGTGAAATGATGAGGATAAAGCTTTGGTAATGACACATGGGTCCAAGTTTTTTTCTAAAATCCTACTTGTGTTACGTCTTTGTTATCTAGGAGTTGAAAAGAATGACAAAATTAGATACTTGTATGACATTTTTTAAATGAGAAACATGAAAGCTAGTGGTGGAACAAGGGGGTCGCCTCCATTGATATGAGAATCTTGGACAAATATTTTCACCTTTTGTTATTTAAGAACTAGGAGGCAGCCTTCATAGATTTGAGAATTTTGGGCGAACTTTTCACTTTTTCTTATTTCAAAATCTAGTTTGATGGGGGCATTTTAGTCCTGGGTTATATAATGTGTCAAATGTAGTCACTAGACTCCTCAAATTTAATCCAAAATAGTTCTACTCCTTAAATCTCGGCCAAAATATTCCAGTAAATGGAATATTTTAGATCATATTTGAGTTATTGGTTTAAATTAAAAGAGATTTTGTATGCGGGACCAAAATGATCTCATACAAATAGACTAAGGATCATTTTGACATTTTATCAAATTTTAATATTTTTTATCTAACATTTATACCATGAACATTCAACTAATAATTGAATACACTCTAGCCTGTCTTACTAATTTTCACATCCAATACTAAAATGTCCTATCGCTTCAATTTTCATATCTAATTTAGCATCTTCATTTTTTCTAGACTGCCTTACTAGTTTTGTTTTTTTTTTTCAAACAAGTTACTAGTGTTGATGAAACTGTTTGTATTATTCATGGTGGATACCCATAACTACCTTGTGCTGGATGGAAGGATGACATGTATATAATGATTTATTGATATCTTTGCAGTAAATCATATAGTTCGGCTCATTCAATTGTAATAAAATCAACTTTGATCATATGTCCACGCCAAATTTTTCTAACATAGAGAGATGTTTCAAAACACGAAAAAATGCTCTTCAGGAAGGCAAAATATTTACATTTTATCTGTCATTATTAATTATAAATTTTTTATTTTGAAATCTAATAAGGATGTTGGATTTATGATTACAGCTCATCATCATTATCATCATTCTTAGCCCTATCCAAACTACTAAGTGAATTTTGAACTATTTTGTTTTCAATAGATACCTCTTTAAGGATGACTTTTAACATAATCATTCTTTAATTTATTATTTTTAATTTTGCTGCACATTTATTTTACATTTTTATTTCTACCATGCTCAACTTTATAATTAAGGATTTTTTCACTTCCAAACAAAACCATACGGCATAACGAACTTAATTTTATCTTTCAGCATATCATATGGACTTGAACTTTATAAAACTACAATTAGGTTGGTTATGCTATTTGTATTTTTGCATTTTTCAGGGAAAAAAAAAATCATTGATAACTTTAGGCCATTCTCATATTCTCAAGGCACTTCTTTATTTTGACCTCTAGCCTCAATTCTAGAAGTTGAACCATTTAATCAATTCTTCCATATAACACATTAAGGATACTTTAACCCTTCAATACTTATGAATTTTATGATATGATATTATTGATTGATAATTATTAATGTTAATATTCAATCTTTGTTCTAGTCGTAATGCACCACAATCTCACATCAAATAAGCTTACATATTTTGGATAATATTATACAGAAGAATGCAGATATTATTATGTGGATGATGATATATGAAATAAAGTTGGGTGGTTAAAATGAAAAATTTTTCATTATCACTATTTGATAAGAGATATCAGGGATAATTAAAGATAAAACTTATAAAAACTACAACTAGGAAGGTAATCTTATGTGAATCTGAATATTGGGCAATAAAGAAGTTGTTGATAGCTAAATTGAATATTAGAAAAATGTGATTTATTTGTGATAGAGGGTGAAGACCTCTACTTACATAAATTTGGAACAATTCAAACACGTGCACAATTTGGATCCTATGTTGTCTCCTCTGACCTCACGTCTAAACGTAAATTGCTTGCATGTATGGACAATAATTTCTCTCTATTCCCCGGAAAATAGAACTATTCCCCAAATGGTGCAAATAATTATAGTTGGAAATGCTAGGGCAACCCTCCATTCTCCGAACTAATAACATGAATTTTAGATGATTGTGTTCTCTATTTTCGTTCGTTTTTACAAGGTTTGATAGAAAGGGATCGGGCTACAATAATCTTTTTTTTTCTCTTTTTTTATTTAATTTATTTTGCTTTTATTTATTTTTTTGGGCATTCTGCAGAGCCAGGCGATGAATGAGAAATTTGACACCTTCAATGGTTTAATCTCATCTATGTCTCAAGTAATTATCGAGTACCGACCATCTATGAGATGGCTCAATTCTCATTGTGAGGGCCGCCTCGACAGTGATAAACTTGAACATTTTTCTGCCCAATGTTGTTTAAATGATTCAGAAGACAACAATTCCATGGAAGAAAGTGATGATGAAATAGAAGATTGGTAGGCCGTCTTTTCTCATTGCATTGCAACTCTCCAGGTATGCTTCTGTCTCGCAATTTCACATATAGAATGGTATTTTTTTCCCATTATCATTTTATTGCTGTAAATAATGTTTTTAAGGTATTCAAACAAAAGCCTTTTTTTTGTGGTAAAGTTTCACGCTCTATAGTCAGGTGAGCCAGAGTCTTTAAATATGCTACGCAACATTACTAGTTTTGAGAATGAAAATGTTGTGCAATTGTATAGGGTAGAACAGCAATTTTGTGGAATGATTACGTTTCTTTTAATCAAAATTGTGAAAATATGAGGTTCTTCGCTTAAGGTCTGTTAACATGAATCAAGTGGTTCATGAATTTCAAAAACACGCGAATGGAGAGTATTTTGTCAATAAAATGCTTCGCATAACAAGTACATAAAATGATTTCTTTTTTTTTAAAGAGTTGCTATGAATGCAATCTCACAATTTTTTTAATGACTCGTGTATTACTAGAATAGTTGTGGAGATTTCATTGTTTGCTAAAACAGTGATGCTATAGTCTTGACTCATCTACGGATGCAATAATTTATTTAATGACAAGTTTATTACTAGAATAGTTGTGATTATTAATCATAAACAAACATATCTCAATTAAAGCTCTCCAGAAAAGGAAGAGAGAAAGCAAAGCTCAGATTCATAAAGCAAATATTAGATAAATAGTTGTCGACTACTTGATGCAACCCCCCACTTCTCACATTCGAGAATTGGGATCCAGCAATGACAGTGTTAAAATAATTTTATATGTGTGTAAACTCACAATAAAAGCAATATTTGAGTGTGTATGTGATAAGTATATCAACTTTCTCACCAATATTTGACACTGAACTGTATTCACAAGGTCACCTTGTTTACCATCTCCCAATTTTTTGATTGGGGTCAATTTAAGTATTTGCAGGCCTACAACAACTCATCCAAGTTTGTTATAATTTTAACATCTGATTGCGTTGAATTTTATTCAAATGATCAGTTTTAATTAATTGACAAAACATATTGAAATAAAAGCTCATCTTCCAGATCAACACAATTGATGTTTCAGTGCCTGTATTCTGTAGAGAGCCAATAGTTTTCCTTAAAATTTTATTATGTTCTGTGATTTAATGAGATTTAATTTAAGATGTGGTGCTCCTTGAAGATATTTATACTTCCATGTTCCAGATCAAATAGTTTTAGTCATTAACGATAAAGTTTTTAAGTTTACATGCTAAATCAGACATTTGAATTATTATCACACAATTCTTATGTATTTACATTTTTGTTGAATCTGAGCTTATCTTGTGAATCACACCTAAAGAATAGAACATAGAATAGGGGGAGGGAAGAGAGGGAGAGGGAGAGGGAGAGGGAGAGAGAGCGAAGTGCTCTCCTTAAGAGTACAATGAGGAATTGTGTAACATTTTATTCATGAATTATGTTGTCATTCTGTCTTTTGTACAATGTTGTCTGTCGATCAGTGTTTTATAGTCCCAGCAATTAGTTAGATTTCTAGTGAGGGTTGGTGATGTCTATATTATTTGAGCTGATGAGTCGGGCTGGTCGTTAGTCCTTAATTCCTACCGGGGGAATTCTCATCGGCATAGTAGACTTGTTCACTCAAAAAGAGGGTGTCATCTAGATGTGTATCGTTGGATCGGATCGGATGAAGTCTGGCTAGCATAAATCAATCGATCTTTTGGACTGCCAAGCCATTTTCCAAAGGGTCTGCCTCTGCCACATCATTCCTTTTTGAGCTGTTGGATTGCCTTAAAATTTATGCTGACATATTATTTGTGTACGATATCTGACACCAAAACTTTAATATGTACGGGCATAGCTCTCAAATTTTTAATTTAACTTCATTTAAAAATATGACTCTAACCTAATTTTAAAAGGTTAAATACAATTGCATGCATAGGTTTTTCACACCAGCATTTTGTAATTATAATTATGAAAGTTTAGGTGTTAGAAAAGTAAATATAGAAGAATTGTGGTTTGTGCAACTTTTTCTTTTTATTTGGGCAAATTATAACATCAAATATTGTTGTTGTTTTTTTTATTATTATTTTGAAGTATTGGATAAAATGATATATTTACAGGCAAAATTATTTATTTATTTTATAATTTATTAGGAAAAAAATTAAGTATCATGATAGAGAATTGTTTTCCATGGGGTTTTCTTAATACTAGTTCTAGCTATACCAATTTTCAATGATAAGGGTGTAAATAAGCTAAAGCTGCGTTTGAGTGGAGTGTAAATGAAAAGGGTGAACTTGATTAACTAATTCAATTTAATCTTGAGCTTGAATCATGAATATTGTTTGAGTTTAAATTTGAGCTTAATTTGATGTTTCCAACTCCGTTTATGGAGCCGCTTGTTTATCATTTAGGACAAGAAAATTTGATGCAAATGATTATGATAAGAGGGCAACAAGAATAAGCAATTATAGAAGAAATGAAAAGAAAATCTTTTACTTTTTTTATTATTTTTAATAAATTATAGGTAAACTCTTAATTTTAAATGTATTTAAAGTGATTTTGTATTAATATCTTTTTAAAATGAATAAACTCATGAGTTAACTAATGAAGTTGGGATTGGTTCAAATTTGGCTTGTTAGCTAATTGACTTTAGTTTATGAGCTACTTATCAACGAAGTTGATCACACAGTTACTTAATCAATCACACTCATTAAGAGATGATATCTTATATATGCTGCACAGCCCTTGGTTCTATATTTACAGGAACTTTTTAACTTAAATCTTATGTCAGTTGAATCTAAAATATATCTGTTATGGTTTTACTTCTTCAGTATGTCGCACATTTTATTTTGATTCACTTGGAAAAGACTAAATCAGTATGTTTACAGTTATTTATTCTTTGGTTTTATCTTTAGACTTGTGAATGCATATAACAGTCAATTTATTCGTAGCATAGCAATGTAGTTTTTTAATGTTATGGCGTGACGCATATTATCATTGTGCTCATCATTTTCAAAAAAAAGGTCATAATTTTGAGTAGATTTGATTATTACATATATATATATATAACTCGATTCTCCCCAATTGTAAATATACCACTGTTAAATTTATTGACAACAAACGTCCGAACAATGCTGGGAAAGGCTTATTTTAAATTGTATTTTAATCAATTTAAATGTATAGCTGGAATGAGAATAGAGCAAGAGAAATGTAACCTGCAGTGTTGAAGTTTTATGGAGTTGATGAATTTCTTGGAACTAAGGTCAATATTAGCCTGATTATTTATTTTTTATATAAGGAAAAAAAACTATATGTTTAAGATAAATTAGGTGGTATATATATGTTTGATCACGTTCTCTTGCTTAACATTATATTTGATTTAGCATAATATTATATAAAATATGTTTTGTGTGGAGCTAAAAAAGAGAACGTGATCCAGTTTACATTTGAGCTGGATTGAGATCAAATAGAACCAATTTAAAATCTATTTTTTATGTATGTGTCTAATTAAAATTTATTTTATGCTTCAAGCTAATCATATGTTGGCACGTTTCCCAACTTGAAGTAATTTATTTATTTATTATTATTCATTTTATTTATCTTACTTGGAGTAGTTCTCCATGGATCAATAAATAATCCAAGAAATTGGCTTGAGCTTATTTTCACTTATTTGATCTTCATGCTAAACTTGGTTTTCCTATACAAATATTTAAATGTGGAATCATATGAAATCCTTTTATTATAAAAACAGAAAAACACTAATTTTCAACTTAAATGTGATCGAAAGGAGAATATTAGTATTTTATGATAAATCAATAAGGTATAGGCTTAAAAATAACTATAGTACAGAGACTATATATATATATATATGTATATAAGGAATGGCCGAAAGTTATTAGACGAGCCCCGACTATTCGTTGGTGTGCTAAATATTCGAGTATCACGCCCTACAGACGAAGGGAATTCAAACCAGTGACCTTAAGGGACTTGCAACTTTCAACGATATATATATTAAGAATAAAAGTACTTTTAGATTATTTACAACAAACGTCTTAAACATCATCTAACAAAAACTCAGTGAAAATAAATCCTTATTAAGGAGACCTATTTGAAAAGAATCTCACCAACCTTCTATTTAAAGTAAACGTTGAACCAACAAATATAAAATTATTAGTTCTAGAAGATATAAATAAGAAGAAACAATTTAGAATTAGAGCATGCCCACGATTAATGCTTGTAGGCTTCATTTGATATATTAAGAAATTCTCAACAACCTTAAAGAATTAATCAAATTTTGCAGCTTTCTAGAAGCAATGCTTTGGCCCATCATAGTCCTCAATCAATATTGGATTAAAAATGAAGTTAATAATTAATTAAGCAAAAATTGAGATGTTGAGATGTAGTCATCCAAGTGATTTTATACCAGTAAACAAAGTTGGGACATTGGTTTAGTTTGGTATAACGGATTTAAATCAAGGCTAGGCTTATGTTGGTGTGGTAGGTACTTGTATTAAGTAAATGATTGTCCTTAATTAACTATGTTTAGCTTCTCATAGGAGGGATAAACTATAGGGCCTCGTAGAAATTGAAAGACCACTCATGTAACATGTTAATTATATGGCTCCCTTTGAATATTGCTTTGTATAATTTATTTAAGATCACTGTATATATTATTGATTATATAACTTTAATTATATGACAAAATAAATGTGATTTTAAACTATAGATACGATCAAATGATTTAAAATTAAATCTAATAAATATTAATGTAATTATTTTGTATGAATAAGATGGTTATTTTAATACAATATATGAGCTAAGAATTTATGAACTAGGCTATGGCGTAGTGGTTAATGTGATCACTCCTATCATTGAGATCAGAGATTCGTGTCCCTAATCGTCCATTGAACTTTTATTTTTTAGAAAAAAAAAAATAGAATTATTTTCCTTTATCTCTTACATTAAAGTGAATGTTTTGTTCTTATGTCTCTCTCTGTAATGAGTTTTGTTTCTCTTTCAATATATTATATAAAAAGGCATAGTTTTTATGTTTGTAAAATTAAGAGTTTAGAAGGTTTCTAGAAGTTTTACACAACATTTAATCAAATTTTTATATTTTAAAAATGAGTTTTAGATAATATTTAATCAAATACAAAAATTTTTAAGGAAAAAATAAACAAAAAAAATCTAATTAACCATTAATCTATTAATTATTAAATTAATTTTGAAATAACCACAATGCATGTTAATCTCATAAAATTTATATTGCTCTCTCAAAATAAAATTAATGGATAAGATCCTTCATCATCAAAATTGAATCAGAATATCTCAACTCAAAACTTTTTAAACTAAAAGGCGTTGTCATAACTCAAA